ATTCGTTCCAAATTATAAGTCGCTTTAACTTTTTTTGGTACACCCATTTTGTTATGTATCTAAATATAATATATGTCTAGATACATAGCAAAGTGGATGTGCCAAAAGTCAAAGTGACTTATAATTTGGAACGAATGAAATAGAAAAATATTGAAAATATTTATTTCATATACTTAACTTACCCGTCTCCTTATACTAAACTTAAGAGTCTGTTTGGCTGGTGTCTAAACTTACTACACCTAACCTTAGGCCCGAACCAAGCATGTTGAAGCTGCCAATAGACGACTAATGACGCCTGGGCCGGCCGCCCGACTTCCATCGAAGCACGCCTGTGAATTCGAAGGTCTTATTTTCCTCCCTGCCATTGTCTTCCTCCTAGATTAGAACCCCCGCAGTGTACGTGAACATTGATGCCCCAAATGAAAATGTTACATCAACATATAAATGGATTTCAGACTTGTAGGATGCAGTGTTGAAGCATAGTTTCACAGGACCCACTATGCAAATAGAAAGATGTTCTAGCATGGCACGATTGGTTTAGGCAATGCATCCAAAGGAGTTAGACTATTCAGATTATTCACGTCACAGAGATTCAAAAAAGAGGAACAATATTTTACTTTGTGGCATTGAGGCTAGTAGGAGCATCGAGGTACCAAGCATCGCCCTCGGAGCGTGCAAAGCATCGACGATTCTTCTTCTCTCATTTCACGGGGAGCATCATTTTTTTCCAACACCGCGGGCACCGACATATTCCTAAATAAAAAGAAAAATAATTCATGAAACATATATCATATACTCTTATAAAGCTAAACCCCACTAGATGATTTTTCTCTTCATGTAAGGTGTCCATATCATTTTCCACTAAGTGATTCCACTAGAAGTTCTATCTCTTCATGTAAGGTATCCACGTCATTCCCCACTAAGTCCATATCATCCCTTATTAATTACAAAAAATATCCACGTCATCGCTATCATGTACAATACTTTTAATATTTAATTTTCTCTTCATGCAAGGTGTCCACATCATTCCCCACTAAGTGAACCCTCTAGATGTTCTATCTCTTCATGCAAGGTGTCCACATCATTCCCTACTAAGTTCATGTCACCCCTATCATGTGCAATACTTTTAATTTTTAATCTATTGACATAAAAGTAATCTACATACGCTATTTATTTCATCACCTATTCATCTAAATCTCACTAGATGATTTCTCTCTTCATGCAAGGTGTCCACGTCATTCCCCACTAAGTCCATGTCATTCCTTATTAATTAAAAAAAATGTCCACATCATCGCTATTATGTGCAATACTTTTAATCTTTAATTTTTCTCTTCATGCAAGGTGTCCACATCATTTTCCACTAAGTGAACCCACTAGATGTTCTATCTCTTCATGCAAGATGTCCACATCATTCCCTACTAAGTTCATGTCACCCCTATCACGTGCAATACTTTTAATCTTTAATCTATTAACATAAAAGTCATCTGCATACGCTATTTATTTCATCACCTATTCATCTATAGTAATGAAATCAAATAATTTATTGGTTTTTCTTCTATTAGCTTATCGATTTTTTAGCAGATCTGATACAATAAAATAGCATGTAAGTCAAATTGTATATATACAGAATATAGAATACCATATAGTATGTTATGTATATAATAGATTTATTTTTAAGAAAATCCCACGACAACGCGTGGATATACTTCAAGTATAAAAGAATGAGAAAGTAAGAACTTAACTTCCATCTACGTATATGTGACACTAAAGGTACAATGCTTATAAATAAGTAGAGTGCATCATTATACAGGATAGCGTTCAAGCACCCAAATAAGGGGTGGGCATTTGGTTCTAGGGTCGGTTCCTCGGTTATTGATGAAATTCGGTTCCTAGAAAATAAGAATCGACCGGTTCAAAGAAAAACTGAGTATTTTGGTTTTCGATTATTTCAATTCGTTTTCGGTTCTAACTGAATTTTTTAGCGGAGGTTAAAACAACACCAAAATATATAGGTTTTAAAGCAAATTTAGACGACACTATCTCTATTTTAAACAATAATAATAGATAAGATAACAATAGCAATAAAAGCAACACAAATACATAGCAACTCAATATGAGACTTCACAAATAAATCGAACATAGTCTTATAAAATATAAGTAAGTGAATTCGGTTAATCGATTATCTAAGAGTAGGAATCGAAATTTCCTCGGTTATTTTGGTTAACCGAATACGGAATCGATTTTTTCGATTTCGGTTATTTTGGTTTGGTTTTCGATTTTTGGTTAAAAATGTCCGAGCCTACCCAAACCATCTGTTTTGTTTTAGATGCTGAGCCTATACGCCGCAGCGCTAGTCCCGCACGTACTTCACTAGAAAAATGTTTTTTTTTTTGCAATTTCATGAGAAAAATTTCCAGCTTCATGACCAAATGTTTCATGTTTAGGAGAAATTTATTCCGGCATAGCAAGAGAATTTGTTCCAATGTCACAATAAAAACGTTCCAACATCACCCGGAAAAACTACAGATTGAGATAAAAATGTTTATTTGAAATAAAAATATTATAAAAGAAATCAGACCACATTTTAAAAAGTCCAATAACAAAATTTACCCTAGGCTAGTTATAGAAAAGGGAAAATTATTACTAGTGGATATTAAAACAAATATAATTACTAGTTACAAGTTATGATAATGTAGGTGTCGGGTTCATAAACCAGGGTCCCTAATGGGCCCACTTCCAGTAAAAACTCGGCCCAAATAGACGGCGGTGAGCGACAACGCTGCGCCTCCCCGAGTTTACCCGATTACCTAACGACCGGCCGGAGAAAGATCCGGTCTCTCGATCCGAAAAGCTTGGCCAAGGAGGAGATATAGTCCGACTCGACCTCTTTTTTTAATAGTGAATACACGGACCTTCGCTCGGGATTCTTCTCTGACCGACACGGTCGGAGCCGACCGAGAACGACCTACCGGGGACGTCCGCTCGATAAGGACCCAAGGATCCGGCGGAGCAGATAAGGTAAGGCGATCAAGTCAACCGTAATATCAAGGATCGTACCCTACCATACCCTGCACACCTGTAGAGCAGTGCCACTAGGCCATGCTAGACGGGTACTATTCAACCTTCTAGGCATGTCAGAATCCAAACAGTGTTGTGGGCGTCGATATTTGCCTTACAGTTTTGTAGGCACCGATATTTACCATGCCAGGCGAACATGGTAAAACCTGCCAAACACGTCTGGGCATGACCAGTATTGTGGGCGTCGACAATCATCTCGTACCTGATGCGCGTGAGCAATAAGACTAGATAGCACACGTACACTCTCTCTCTCTCTCTAACTTGTAAGGCCATCCCCTTCACCTATAAAAGGGGATGCACTCTCTCTCAACAGAGACAGTCGTTCAGAATCTCTCCGGCTGGCTCTAGATAATCTGAGCATTCGAACAGCTCTGTAGCTCTAGAACTCTAAGGCTACACAGAGCATACGCTCCAATACTTAGCGCACGTTAGAGCTCCCGTCACTCTTGGCCCTTCGGTTTAGAGTCTGACCGGACCTTTAACACCCCTTCTTATTCCCACTCGTTTGTAATCCCACAACAAACTTCGAGCACCCGGGCTCAGGAATAAAGTTACCGACCAACTGAAACTGGACGTAGGGCACGTTGCCTGAACCAGTATAAATCATGTGTCATCTGATCACAACGCACGATAAAACTACGAATATTTACTTGTTGGTCATTTTTCGCACCAACGGTAGCAAACAGTTGGAAGCAAAATAAAAGCAGAAAAAAGGAAAAGAACAACCAAGTGGACGAAAGAAAAAAGAAAAAGGGAACGGAGAAAGGGTGAGCCAGTTTCATGGGCCGCTTTCTGACTCTCTAGTCATGCGCGTGCATAAATCGGCCCAGTAGTCCGCGCGAGCGCGGAGAAGCAAGCTGTAAATAGCCCCGGAATCGGCACATGCGCGGGCCCCACTCCACAAGCGACAGAAGCCCCATCCGCAGCCGTACACTCCTGAATCGGACGGCCTGCCGCGCATCTCGCCCGCCCTCGGCGCCGTTGCCCGAACCGAACCCTACCCTGTCTGCGTAGCTCTTCTCCGGTTCACCTCGCGTGCGCGAGCGGCGAGCCAACTAGGGCGACCGCCGCCGCCCTACGCCCAGCTTCCCAGGTCTTCGTCGGGGCTTTGCCGGCGACGAGAACCCACACCAGGTATGTCCGCTCCTTCTCTTCCCTTGTTGCTGTGCAAAATTGAGCACCCGAACCCTAACTTCTATTTGCCTATTGTATGCGGATCTGATATAATCACAAGTTTTGTACCTACTAACTTCGTTTTTTTATCGGGGTGTAGCTGTACATGTGTACACTCACGTCCCTTATTGGGTTCGCCTCTGATTTGATGTATCCAGATCCTACTTATGGGTTTTCAGGCCATCATATCTAGATGCTTTTATGTCCTTGTAGTGGGAGATAGTTTTGTCTTATTCCTTTTATGTTCACTTCTCTAGGATTCATGTATGAAATGTTTACATACCTGCACTAATTGCATCAATGCAATGTCCTTCAGCTGCGTTGATTATATTGTAGTTTTTCTTTTCCTGCTTTCCTTGGATAGGAATCTCACTGTCCCTATCCCTGCTCCATGGATACATATCTTGGAACATGATGTATGGCCAAAATACGAAGTAGGCTAGTAGGTAGTAGCTGCAATCTTTCAAATAAAATACTGAGTGTGGAATTTGCTAAACGCTTTTCTAATCTCTGGCAGTGGCATGTTAATTGATCTGATGTAATTATGTGTTTATTTGTTACTTGCATTTGTTGAAAGCACCTTTTATTTTCATCTTCCCTTACAATATTTGTATTTTCAGGATAATGGCTCGCCGTGGACACCTGGATGGACTGACTGCCCAAGCTCCAGCTCTGATGCGCCATGGTTCCTTCTTCGCTGCAGGCAGCCCTCTAGCCACTCACCTTTGCAGTCTTCATCCACACTGGAGATGCTGGAGAGCAAGCTTGCCATGCAAACTGTAGAAGTGGAAAAGCTTATCATGGAGAATCAGCGGTTAGCATCAAGCCATGTGGTCTTGAGGCAGGACATTGTTGATACGGAGAAAGAGATGCAAATGATCCGCACCCACCTAGGTGAAGTTCAGACAGAGACTGATTTGCAGATTAGAGATTTATTGGAGAGAATCAGATTAATGGAGGCAGACATACATAGTGGTGATGCAGTGAAGAAGGAGCTTCACCAAGTGCATATGGAGGCAAAGAGACTTATTACTGAAAGGCAGATGCTAACCCTTGACATAGATAATGCGACTAAAGAATTACAGAAATTCTCTGCCTCTGGTGATGGTAAAAGCCTCCCTGAATTGCTTGCTGAGCTAGATGGGCTACGGAAAGAGCATCATAATTTACGGTTTGTGACAATGTTCCTTCCTTACATTTTTTTGCAACTGCCTGAGCTTTGTGTTAATATGTCTGTGTTTTCCCTTTCCATTGGAAGATCTCAATTTGAATTTGAGAAAAATACAAACATCAAGCAAGTTGAGCAGATGCGGACAATGGAAATGAACCTGATAACCATGACTAAACAAGCTGAGAAGTTACGTGGTGATGTGACAAATGCTGAAAGGCGGGCACAGGGTAAATATTCTCATCCTCTTGATTTGGGCTGCAAGCTATCCTCATTCCTGTAATTGTTAGGTTTTGAGTTGAACCTTACTGGGCTGTACTATTAGATGGGAGCAGTATTATTTCTATTCCATCTGTTTTGTGTTTAGTTTGTGAAGACTACTAGGTTTTTTTCCTAGTAGTGTGAATCTCAAAACTGCTCGTTCATAGGTTTCCCATCTGAATCCTGATTTCCCTACTTTCAACAGAATATGCAGTGTGATATTATCATTTGTAGGTCTTACCGTCTTAGTAGGAGCGGAGGGTAGTGGAGGTGAATCTGGGCCTCCGCATAGAAGTTCCATGGCCCATAGATCCCCAACAGGCTGAACTGCAGGCCTATTTAATGTCTCACCATGGATTACTGTTGTAATGAGCAATTTGGCTCCCCTTACTACACCATTGCGTCTTGGGTTAATGACACGTGGGTTGCATGTATTTGGAGATAGTGTAAAGTGTCCGTAGTGGATAGTCTCTTGTACAGGAGGGACAGCATCATGGTCTAGATTTGCAGACATAAATCAGAACAATACTTTATGAAGTATGATTAATTTTAATCCTTTATCAAGTTTTTGCCCATTGTGTGCTGCAGAGCACAGTTGGGGTTGGTGGTGGGGGTGGGGGGGTTGCTGACCAACGGAAAAAATCATTAGTCAACAAATGAAATAAATGTAGTTCTCATGAGTCATGACTCATGAGTGCTGACCTTTCTAATTTAAAAATGCAATACAATATTACAGTTACATACATATTGTTTTCGAAAAGTCAAGTTGGATATCCAGTTTGACATTTTTTTAGAAGAGTGGATATAGGAACAAACTGAATCTATTGTTTATCATTCCACATTCTGTGTTAGTAGCTTAGTACAATGTGGAGTAACCACTGCCATTGTATTGACTGGTTCTCATTATAGTTCATTGTTGTGACACAGTATAAATACATAGCTATATTTTCCTCTGGAAATGAATAATTGTGTTGTTTACAGTCTAGAAAGGTAGGCATAAGTTACGTATCAATCCTCTGAAATTGTCCATGTTTTTATTGCACTTTAGCGCATACTAATCTATCATTAGCAATATGGCACCAAAAGTGATTGGCCTAAACTAAGCTTCAACTTATCTAGCAAATTTGCGACCTGATTTCTGTGGTGCAGCTTAACTGGAAGCTTTTGGTAGCTGACATGTGAGTGATAGGTTTTCTTTTTCAAACTTACCTGAGGAGATCTTGCCTAAGCTTTGCCAATTTTTATATCACAAGCATTTTATTTTGGGCTTAAATATCATAGCTGCATATAGGACAATAGCAAACTGCTCTGTAGCTCAAGGCCTCTAATGTAATAGAGAGAAAACCTTTGCATATGCAATTTATGAGAAACTGAAATGATTAATTTTCTGTGTATGTGTGCATGATTTTTCTCGAGATATACATGCACATATTTTACTCGTTAATTGCATAATACCATACTCTAATATTTTATTTCCATCCTTTTTCTCAATGAACAGCAGCTGCGGCGCAAGCAGCGGCACATGCAGCTGGTGCACAGGTGACAGCTTCGCAGCCTGGGACAGCTCAAGCTACAGCGGTTTCAGCAGCAGCTACAGACCCATATGCAGGTGCATATGCCAGTTACCCCTCGGCATATCAGCAGGGAGCCCAGGCTGGGGCATATCAGCAGGGAGCCCAGGCTGGGGCATATCAGCAGGGAGCCCAGGCTGGGGCATATCAGCAGGGAACCCAGGTTGGGGCATATCAGCAGGGAACCCAAGCTGGGGCATACCAGCAAGGAAACCAGGTTGGAGCATACACCTATGCTTATGATGCTGCCACGGCTTACGCATATGCAGGTTACTCTGGCTATGCAGTTGCTGGCTATGCGCAAAGTTCAGTGCCCAATTATTCCTATGCCGTACCTCCGCAGCCAAGCAGTGGTGCAGCTACAGACGCCGCAAGCCTGTATGGCGCAGCTGGTAGTGCTGGATATCCTACTGGGCAAGTTCAGCCAAGCAGTGCCACTGCAAATGCAGCGCAACCACCTCCACCACGGCCGACAGCGCCATATCCTAGCACATATGACGAACCCAGAGGAGCCCAGAGGTGAAATCTGGGATCTAAAACCAGATGGCTGTTTGCCATGCACATTTGTTGAGCAGACAATTATATAGATTCTGTCATGCCCCTTTTGTAGATTGATTACTGGTTCAGTTATGTAGATTCAGTCGCGGATAGCTTAATTGACATGATGGAAGAGTTGATGTATGCTCAACTGTTGGTACATGGGTTGATTGGATTAGCTGTTGGTTAAGGATGATTCGGTTAGCAATGCGGCATTAATAAACCACAAAAAAAGTGTAGCGTCGTTATTCAGTATTCTTTTATATCATCTTTTTGCAAGTATAGTGTAGGACTGTAGGTTATGGTTTGTGTATATGCTGATGTAGTCAGGTCCAAAGTCAATTGGCTTTAATGGTTTCCTAGAGAGGTATTTTGTGGCATAGAGACAGGCCTCTTCTTACATCAGACCTTCAGATTCTGAAAAATCCGTAGACGCTGACTTGTTAGTAAACCAACCAAAACCCTACAAATCTGAAAAGTCCGTTAGACGCTGGCTTGTTAGTAAACCAACCAAAAGCCTACACGCAAAGATGCAGCGCTATGCTGAGAACCTGGGTATAGTTGCAGGCCCTTCCTTTTTCTTCATTAGATTAGATGTTTGAATATTTGCTACTATATAGCTGTAACCATTGTTGGATCTGGTAGCATCTCTGTGTTTTGCCATATATTGCATTGATATTGTTAGGAACAGGATGGCATGGAGCTACTGTATGCACGTCACCAAAGAATATGAAAATTGTGAATATAATAATAACTAGTAAGATGCAGCAGCGTGTGATTTTCCATGACCACTTAGCGCCTATGGTCCCAGCGCTTAAAGTCGTTTTATTGTGCTTTTGCCGCTGACACTAGTTTCTTACTACCTCTGCCCGGGGGAAATTTTTTTGCAACTCTAGAGGGCCGTTTGGATCTTTCATTTGGAGGAATTGAAATCTACTTAATAAACAAGGCTATTTGGTTTAGAATTTGACATTCCACCGCTTTTCAAAAGTTCACATATAAACCTATCTCAAATTTATAGAGTGGTAGGAGATGGAAATTGATTCTATAGATTATTATACTATGTTTCTACTTTACAACTTATAACACACTCTTCAACTCACTCCCATACAGTAAAAATGTAACACATTTTATCTCTCTCGTATAGCCAACAATAATATACAAATATAATCCATATACACCCATATTAGCTTAATTAATATGTTTAAATTATGACTATTAAAATGAATTCAATTCCAAGGATCCAAACGTGACCTAAATGTTTTTTTTTAAAAGTGTCTAAAGTTTACTAACCATATACTTAAAATACGAATGTCTACAACGCCAAACGAATATATTATTAAAATATATCTTATGACAAATCTAACTATACTTATTTAATATTATAACTATTTATAATCTATATCTAATAATAATCTATACCTAAAATTTCAGCCCATCTTTTTTCGTCCACCTCCTTCTAACTAACTTTGTGCCGGTTATAGCTCTCCTGATTTATATGGTAGGTTCGGGATTGCTACGAATCCAAATCCAAATAGAACTCTGCGGTATCAAACAAACTGAATAGGAATCCTAATATCTATCTAACATTTCTATCTATCTATACCAAATATTAAGCCTACGATCATGACTAACCTAAATAGAAATCCTAACCCAAATAAATATATATCTGCCTATATATCTTATTATAATATATCTTTTCTTTCTACCGTGTTATCTTTTTTTCAATTCCATTTTCACACAGCCTCCTAAAAAATATTGCTCCAATCGCCCATAAATACAAGGTATCCTAGGATGGATTTTAGGTGAAGTTAAGGGAGGTAAGAAAAGTCAAATGTACCCCCACATCAAAGTAAAGTGTACAATCTCTGATTTGATTGGCGTATATACGAGGAAAGAAAGAGGTGGGAGATATACATTATAATTAATAATGATGGAGTCTTAGTTTATACCAATATAATAACCAAAAAATCAAATCATTATTATTTTTTTCAAAAGTTAAGCAATAAATCAATATTTTTTTTGCCTATACGCTATCTCCACCAAAAATTGCATTGTGGAGTGGTTATACAAGATAAGTAGAAGAGACACACGTGAATCGTTAAGTTTTGTTTGTCTGATCTCTACTTTTGAGTATGGGAAGAAAGTGCTTTGGATGAATTTCCAAAAATAAACTATATTTTCTAAAAAAAAAAGTAGTATATGCTAATATTAAGGTATGGGGTTTTTAATCATTTGCTCTCTCCCGTACTTTTACGGGTTAGAACAGTGTGTCAAGACATGATAGGAAGTTTGATTCCAATATAAATTGAAACACATGACCCAATCAATAGATAAATGTTCAAGCGTCCTTTGCCTATACGAATGCGAGTAGAGTTTGTTCGCACATGTTATAAAGTTTGGTTCTAAGATGAATAAAAACACATGACGTAATAGTTGAATAAATCGTTTGAGCTTCATGTCGTTTAAGTGATTATAAACTATACATCTCGTAGCAATGCACGGGTATTATTGCTAGTATATATATAATTGAGATATTTTAAACTGCTAATGCGTTAGACTTGCAATTTTTTTCACGGAGGGAGTACATACACAAATTCAGAAACAGTGACAGTTTTTCTTTGGAAATTCGTGTTTTCTGCTCGTCCTCCCTCCCTCCAGGCTCCAGAGCCTGCTGCGGTCCTCTCCATGGCCTGGATCTGGATGGTCCCCGTCCCCGTGGCGGGAGCCGTGCTCCTGTGGGCGAACTCTCTGGGGCGGATCCTCTCCTACCCCGCGCCGTCCTGTGTGCCCCCGAGCCTGCAGTTCATGCCCCCTCTCCGCGACGACAGGAGGAGCCGGAACGTGCTGCTGGTCGTCGCCCACCCCGACGACGAGTCCATGTATGCTACTTCTCCTTGTGTTTTGAATGCCCAATTGCCATGTCTGTGAAACATCTTCTTAGTTCTCGTTTGCTATGTTGCTTCGTTCTTATTGTTTTATTATCATCTTTTGTGTTGCTACAGGTTCTTTGCTCCAACCATTCTTTTCCTCAAGTCAAAAGGTCACAATATTCACATTCTGTGCATGTCTCGAGGTTAGATGGCAAGCAACTGACGCTGTATGTTTATTTATGTTGCCCTATATATTTGTTCATCTGAGTCCAGCGCCGAACAGGAATGGCCAATGCCCAATTGGCCATTGTAATGTCTGCTAGGATGCATCATAAAATCGTCATAGGCAACCATGATGTCTGCTTACTTTATGCTTGACAGCACAGATCAGATATTCATCTCTGATGCATGCATGGTGCTTAAACATTCAGTGTCACCGTGTATACATGTTTTTTTAGTGAATTAATAGCCAATGAAGTAAAAATAGTATCCCACACATCTCAAGCGCTATGGAAGCTTTTAGCAGTAAGTATAATAGTATTTTTTAACCGTGACATTTGAACAACAATCACTAAGAACTAACTTACTCCTTCCACAGGTAATGCTGATGGTCTCGGAAATACTAGAAAGAAGAATTGTACCATGCCTGTGACACCCTTAAGGTACTCAGATTGTTAACTAGCTCATTTTACCCTCAAAGAGCAAGCTTTGTACAGTTGCTGAATCCGCTCATGTCATTACAGATTCCACATGAACAAGTTAAAGTCTTGGACCACCCGAAATTGCAGGTACTCTGTTTTGAGTCCATACTTGCATACTTGTACATACTGTCTCAAAAAACATCTGATCTTGACCCTATACATTTCACAGGATGGATTTCATGAGAAATGGGGCCATGGGCTAGTAGCAGAACTTACTATGGAGGATGTCCAACTATGGGCCATTGACACGGTAGCGGCTACATCTTAGAGACCTTATGAACTTCAAAATACATGACATTTTAAGTATTTTTTCATTGAACACGCAGGAGAGCTGTGTATCATTAATATCATTATGGGGATTAGAGCCCCGCACAGTTCATACACATACCTAAAAGGGCGTACCTAGTGCAGAGAGCTCCCGCTCTGTGCGGGGTCTGGGGAAGGGTGTCAGTGACAAGCCTTACCCTCGCCTGTGCAATGAGAGGAGACCGCAACTCGAACCCGGGACCTTCCGATCACAGGCGGTAAGACTCTACCGTTTGCCCCAGGCCCGCCCTTCTTCATACACATACCTAGCAGAAAATAAAACTCATGTGGCTAGTAAACTTGAAAAACAACCCTGACCAATCATTAAATTCCAAGCATTTTAAGTATGCTACCAGCTTCTCCTCTCGCTCTTATTCTTGAGCCATTGAGTGTGCTTGTTTCTTTGATCCTCCATATTATAGTGTTGAAGTAACATGAGTAGTTGAGTACACAAATGTGTGGGTCTGCATTATATGTAATACACGACATGTTTACAAAGCAAATCTCACAAATTGCCAGTTCTTCTTTTTAACCTCGGAATAATTTAGCAAATGACATATTGGGGTGATGCTTGTTCAAACGTTCTCATCTTTTCTTCAGAAAAAGAACACTTGTGACTACAGTTTGCGAATTCTACTTAAAAATCCTGACAGTGAATCCTTGGTATCTGATACATCTGAATAAATTTCCATAATTTCAAATCTCAATATGATTTCCTTGCTAATACTGTACACCATATTCAGCTGCTTTACCTTCATTTGCTATGTACTTAAATTTTTTTGTACTTATTTTGTTTTCCTTTCTAGGCCCTACTTACTGATGCAATATTTGATGCCATTTAGATTGTGACATTTGATTCATGTGGAGTATCAGGGCACCCAAACCACAAAGATCTTCATCACGGCATATGGTTAGTTCAGTTATCTGGTTTAACACTGCATGAATTGCTGAAAACATTGGGATTCCAATATGTTGGGAATCAGAACTGTTGTTGTTCTTTGATTGTACACAACTTGTTCTCATTTCATTTACTTTTGCATTTTTTACTACACATATGCATGTCACATTTATGAGATAGTTTTGTATTTTTATCACTCAGAGTCTAAAAAACTCTATTTCTATATGAACAGCAAGTTTCTCCATGCAAACAGGCAAGGAAACGTTGAAGCTTGGGAACTAGTAAGTTTTTCCCTTAAATCCTTTGACAACCTTCTTTAGATTTACTTCTCAGAGTGATTTTCACTGTAGAGAGGAAGATAATATGTGTTACTTTCTTGACTTTGTCAGTGCTATATTTAGCAAAAGCTACGGATCTCACTTCGGTCGCAAAGTGGTTTCTTTAGATAGTACAACAGCATGTGTTCCACCGTTGTAGCGGTGCCTTGTGCTAGTGCTCACCCCATTGCTAGGTGGACACCCCGTTCGGCTGACCAAGAAGCCGGCTTGTTCGGCCTCTTTTTTCAGCCGGAACAGTGTTTTTCGCTCACGACATTTCAGCCGGAAACAGTGTTTTCAGCATGAACAGTGTATTTTCATACCAACCGAACAGGCCGATCTTCTTAATGAAACACGTGCTAAGCACGTCCCCGAAAAAAAAAGTCAGAAACTGATAATCTATAATGTTACAGCATACGTTTGCCATCTCTATTGGGGTGATGACCTAGTATTTTTAATATTATTTTTTTCAGAGACTTTGGCACTAGAGTCTTACCGCCTGTGACCGGAAGGTCCCGCGTTCGAGTCGCGGTCTCCTCACATTGCACAGGCGAGGGTAAGGCTTGCCACTGACACCCTTCCTCAGACCCCGCAAAGAGCGGGAGCTCTCTGCACTAGGTACGCCCTTAGAGATTTTGGCACTAGGATAATTAACGTCCTAGTTGATTTTTACATGGGAAAATTAAGCTGTTGCGTTCTTAATTCTTATGCTATATGGATACTGGATAAAGACAAAGCTAGTGACTTTACTATTTAACATCATTTCTGTATTGCTAAACTTCCTGGCCACCTTATCTTTAGTTTACCCTCTCATTTTTCTTTTGGTCTTGATTGTATCATGTTTTTTCTTCTTGCTGGAAGTAGCACATTAGTGTGGAGGAAAGACGATCCATGCTGGATTATTTGTAAATGCAGGCAAGCCTGAATATTCTTCGCAAGTACAGTGGTCCGGTTGACATATGGCTTTCTTCGTTGATATCCTTCTCAAGGTCAAAGCAATCAATCTATACTCTAGTTAACAGTAGACCGTCCAAAAGCTATGAGGCAATGGCTGCACACAGAAGTCAGTGGGTTTGGTAAGTATAAGAGTTTCATATTTGCATTTTCATGGAGAAAGCATTGTTTCTGTCAACTTTAATAGAGTGCTGGAGATCAATCCACGTAGCCACTATAAGTTCATATTGAAGTTTCTGATAGTGTCATATTTATATCGTTGCACACAGTATATAATGGCCAACATATAATGAGTCAGCGACTTGCTAATTGCTGCCAATACAGTATATCATCAAGATGGCATCTATCAATACCTTTTAGTTGTATCAGGAAACAATATGGGCTATGTTTAACTCAGCAGTTACGGAATGTGTTTTTTTTTTCTCAAATATAGGGAAGCTCTTTTTTGAATTAAAGATAATCAACATATTCCATGTGTCTTCGCAGGTTTAGAAGATTGTATGTCATCTTCTCGAGCTATATGTATGTAAATGTGCTACAGAAAATTTAACATGTGATCTAATGTCATGTCAAAGCTGTCCGCCATTCTCGTCTCCACTGTCGTACCTATACATTGTCAATTGTATGTATCAAGGGATTCAGTTGTACATTTTCTGTCCATAGCCAGTGCTCATAGGGTGACAGTAGGACTTATTCCCAATTTTGTAGTACTACAGAATTTGTAAGTTCTTGGCACTGGAGTATGCTCAGTAGCTTATGGGTGTGGTCAAACGATTTCTGGTTCAAGTTTGATGTCCTTAATGAACTGATCTGCTAATCCTTTTGTACTACCTGCCACTAACAGAATCCTTGAAAAAATAATCACATACCCGTTCGCTGGAGGCCAGTTCACAAATCATTAAGAATCAAGGGGCCTATAGGAAAGACTCCCCGTTTGAAAATGCAGACCCCAATGCGATGAGTTGAACGATCCAAATAAGTACACGATAAATCTTCTTCCTTGTCTCCCCACTACGGGAGTGTTTGGTTGCTAGGCTACCTCTGTTCAAGCTTTACGATGTAATTTTTAAGTGTTTGGTGGCCTTGTCAAGGCTCGTATCCAGTGCATGAACACCCCCTTAGCCAGGCTTAGCAAAAGTGTGGTGCGTGACTGTTTTCGCGGAGCCAAGCTTGGCTAGTGTTTGCCTCACCTCCTGACTCAGGTCCTTGCTGCCTCACCTCCTGCCCTTGGATCCCTGCACCCGCATCTCCCACACCTCCGAGCACCGTGCCAAGCTCCAAGAGCACCCCGCGCTGCTGTTGGGCGACTGTTTTCACAGAGGAGCATGCTTGTGACAGTGGCAGTTTGACATCTGTGCTCGTCACATGTTCGTTAAAATGTCTCCAAGGTAAGCTTACCAACGCAAGGATAGGGTGATTCTATGCAAGACAAACAAGGTAACTAAACATATAATTTCTTATGAATGCTAAGCTAGTCAATGCAACCAAACAAGTGTATCTTGCATTGCCGAAGTCAGTCTTTAGCTATCAAGGCTTAGTTGACTAGCCAGGCTAAGTCTTAAACATGAACCAAGCACATGCTATGTGGTTTTCCTCTGTCCTCATCCCACAGTTGTTATTAGGATCTAGAAATATGCTAGAGGGAAGTGAATAGCCAGATGCCCACTAAAACCAAAGACACTAAGTAATTTTGATTAGAAACATAAATGACCCTAATAATGTTATTTCTAGCTAGAGATTTGCTTTCTAAGATGACAAGTGCAAGCAAAACAATTCTAGGAATGTAAACAACACAATGTAGGTACTAGAATTGATAGTGAGCTTCAAGAGATACCACACAAAATAACACAAGGTATATCTTCATGGTATTGGTGACTTACCGGTCACCCCTAGTCCATGTTGAGGTGAGCTCTTGGTACATCACTCCTCTATCAAGCTTCCAACCCACAAAGGTTGTCTAGGTGCCTTGAGCACTTGATCTCGAGTAGAATAGAACAAGAAGAAGATACTCAATACCTCTTTTAAACTAGAGTCGCTCTTTGCCTTCTCCCACAATAGCCCCTCACAAATCCTCCTCCGGAGCACCAACACAATCTTCCTTATGTTTCACAGAGTCTGCAAGCTCGAGGTTGTCTAGGCGGCGGCAACCACCAAAAGTAACAAGAAAATTGCTTCCAATATGAAATAACTCAATGCTTTGCACTAGAATCCTGATCTCACACTCAACTGATGAAATCCAAAACAAGTATGTGAGTGAAGTGACTTAGAGTATACTCAAGTGATGATATATTACGATCTTTATAGAAAATGTAACCTGTTGATACGCTTGATAAATGGCAGTCGAGGGAAATGAAAAATTCCAATGGCACTCAAGGAACTCATATAAATTTTAGTGGCATTGAGGGAATTATCTCAATTAAATGGAGCCTAGAGTGACCACCCAGAAAAACAGTGCAACCACAAGACTACATGGGCAATGGTCTTGATTAAGTAATTATATTTCTCTAGTTTGTCAGTAGCTTATCGAAAGATGCAAGAGAGAGACTGTGATGTAGTGATACTTGTTACTTGGTCCGTGAAAGGTGTTTTATTTGTTTGATCTTTGTCTCCTCTTGGGGGAGGGTTCACTCACGCAAATGAAGTGAAACTAAAGAGAGGGGATAAGAAAATGAGGTGAAATCAACGTATGGGCAAAATTGCCACTTTAGGTCTGATATTTGGCCAAAAAAGATTAAGTGAGTTAAAATCATGAAAATGCATTTTAGTGGATGTGTATTGTTTCATAAGGGCAACCTGACAAAACCCACAAATTTGATGACATTTTAGCAATGGCACTCTTCAGCAGTACTTTTCAGCGAACGAACAATGTTTTTCTCTCACAACAAATCAGCATAAGCATCAGCCAAATTTCAGCGAAACGAACAGGGCCGATCCACTTGCCATAGGTGCAAATTTTCAGTTCTCATTTGTTTTTGTGAAGTTGTCTTGAATTCTTTATCCCTGTGACATAAGACATGTGGGGTATTGTCAAAGCACACGTGTGCAATCGTCTATCAGGAACTATAAGGGAAACTTTGGCTTTAATGTAAGCCGCTTGTTCACGTGTCTAGTTTAGAGGCTGTACAATTACAACTGTTTACGATGATGTTAGAAAAGGAACAAGACGGTACGCACTAAACGATCTGGTTTCAAGTTGCAATGATGGAGACGATTTTCATTCAATCTTTGTTCTTGTCTCTTTACATTTACACACTAACCTAACCCTAGAGATGGGATGGACTTTCTTATCCTTGTAGCGACCTGGCAATTGACCATAATATCAGGGACAACCGGAACATGGCATTTGGAATGAACTGTTAGCATTTTGCTCTTCCAAAAGATGCCAAGGTCTCAAGGTTGAACTAACCACGCGCCTCCAAGACTTCTCTTTGCGCAGTCTTTATCAATGTATGCAAGAAAGTAGAAGCATCGCAGCATGAAGGGTTGGTGACAGAGGCATGTGCCAGGAAAGGGAGTTTCCTCAATGAACGGCCACTAAGTCCCTGCAAAGAGAGATGAACCACCACCATTTAACGAGAACGAGAGATGGAGAAGCCTTGGTTACAGCAAACAGCACGTGGGTCAGCTACGTTATTTACCTCACACAGTTTTGCGGCTTCATAGAGTAGACTGGATAACTGAAACGCACCATAGGGTTCTGTAGCCTCAGGACAGTGCTTCTTCTCCTCCAGGGTCGAATAGTTCAGAATACATGGCACACTACTACCCTACAATTGGAGAATTTCAAGGTTACCAATAGTTGCAATAAATAAAATTGAAAAGCAAAGTGCTACCACTGAGATCAAGAAAAAAGATTTGCTCATAGTTCTGCATGATCAAAGCAACCATCATGAGCTCTGGTACGCTGATACAGTGACAGTAACGCCATGAAAAGTTGGCAAGTTGGGCACCAAATTGGCAAAGCAGGACGTACCTGAGGATATGTAAGAATGCCAACTCTTAAGAGTTCTTGTATGCATGACCTCAAGATCTCGTATCGTGCTTGAAGCATAGGGGGTCCGACATATGCCTTAATGTCTGCCCTGTCAACAAATGCAATATCTGCCAGTAAACAGTAAGCATTAGGTAATTACAGAAGTCCTTATACAGAGTGTTCTCAGAAACAAACTGCAAGATCAAATCATGAGTGCCCATAAAAAAAACATGACTGTAGTCGATCCAAGAGAAAGAAATTCTACAGAGCACACATGATTTGTATTTTGATGGCAAGAAGATATTTATAAGTTAGCTATAATATTATTTTAATCATAAAAATTAGGAAAATTGCTTCCATGGAAATGGATAGTTCATCAACCCTAAAGAATAATATTATGTTTAGTGGTGTGACTGCAGAACTGCTTTCTCATAATAAAGGGATTCACTCAACCAACTAATAATGTGTGATTGTCAAGATGATCATTCATAGCCCCACGGTTAAAGAGTCAAATCTAGTACCTATTGCTGTAGTGATATTTGATGTTGTCAAAATGATAACATTTGGCCAAGACTTCAGTTTGTCCATTTGTGTTAGCAGCGCATTCACAACCTGAAGTTGCACAAGAGAAGAATATAGTGTAAACATTAGCCAAGAAATAATACATGATCAGGAAAAAAAAGTAGGATGAAAACTTTACTCTAATGGAGTCTGAAGGTTCAGAGCCAGATATGGCAGCTTGTCTGGCGGCAGCAAGGCTTTCAACTTCATCTACAATATATATACATATCATATATAAGATTGAGGTTTCAAATATATAGCATGCACCAAATCAAGTACTCTATTTTCTCAAGCCTTAGGTAGCACTCTATAGGACTACTGCTTGTGTTATGTACTTATGTGTTTGCTTGCTTCAACTAGGAGACAGTGCTGAAGTTAAGTGAAACTGTGCTGGATTCAGGGTCCATGCGCCTATGCACATACAGGATGTGATCAGGGGGGTGGACTCATATCTAATTCAGACCAAGGTACCAAACAAAGCAGACTCATTCAGGGTCAGCTGTCACGACTCAAGAACATACCTATCAATACAAATACCAGGTTGCCTTCTTCCTCCACCATCTCCTGGATCTTTTGGAAAAGTTTGGCAACCTAAAGGACAATGGATAGAATGTGGATTGTCAGATGTAACTATGGGTGAGTAAGACAATATTTCCAGAATATAATTTGGATTTGTTGGCGAAAAAAGGAGAAGAAATAGGTTGTCATTCCATTACAATATCATCAAACAAGAGAAAGAGCTAATTTCCCGTTTTGGTATTTCAATTGAAATACCTTTTGTGGGTGTTTTATGTAGAAATACTGTTTTTCTTATTTTGACAATCACCGTGACAGAAAAGATAAAAGTGGTTCAGGAACTATTAAATTAGGGAGCTCATGCAAAAAAGGTGCAGCCATAAAAAAAAACAAGTCCGATTAGACGCTAAATAGCTAAAGTGATCTCAGCATATGAACATATGATAACAGCTTAGCACAAAAGGCATACCAATTTTCCACTTTCAGAAAACCACTTGCTGAACAACGAATGAGCATTCACTTCAATCAATTGACACATAGAATACCTAGTATATACAAGTGTCAGTGAAGAATAACACATCTGGTAAAAAAGTATATCTCATTTTAGCACAGACCTTGACTTGAAGCTTAATGGAAAGTTTCTGTGCTAGTGCTTTTACACAAGGAAGTCTTTCCTGTTCCAGGCGGACCATGCAAAAGTACAATCCTGTAATTTGTAAAAACTAAAAGCATGAAGAATCATTTCACTCTATAGAGTACACAATCTTTTACTTTGTTTTTTGTAAAACAAATAGTGACTGCAAATGTGTATAACAGTGTTATAGATGCTTACCGGTTCCATGAAACCAGACATGTATCCACACCTCTTTCAGTAAAAAGCAAAGCACTGGCAGCATATCTCAGCAACCTCTGCTTGAGACCAACTTCATATAGTAAACTGCAAACACTAATGAGATCATCCACAGAACAAAAATGGAGATTGAAGTGGTTAAGATAAACAGTATTTACCTTTCCCACAAACCATCAAATTCTTTGGCAGGTAAGGCCCACTCGTTAAAGCTAGAGAGTGTATCATCCTCGCTTGGTTCCTCACCAGGACCATCTTCACTCAGCTGCAGCATAGCCAAATGAGCTTGAGGTGAATAAACTGGACAGCAGCTAGTATATTGAATGGATACAAAATATGGAACGCTTTTTGTTTTGGAACGAAACCATTCCTCAGGATCAATATTAGGATGTAAAATGTCCCCAGAGAAAACAACTGTAACTTGAACTCAAAACAACAGCTAAAATTCAGCAGTGATGGAAGTATGTCCAGATAAAACAGCTATAGCATTTTACTGAGTGAAGAAGCAAGATAACCAACATGGTCACATGGAATCATAATGACATAAAACAAATGACATCAGTTTTGGATAGAACTGCAAGTGAGTAGGAAGTAAACGTAAAACATTAAGAATCTCATACCTGGAACACATGCACAACAGGCTTAACTTGCCAAAATAAGAGAACTTTGCGATTCTCAGCCCACTCGTCTGCTTAAATGTTTAGCACTCAGAATAAGGATGTTATGAGTAACAGAGCACAAGTAACCATAATTCCCAGCCTAAGTGAATAGCCATACCAGTGTCACATATTCGTATCCTTTTGACATTTTCAAGAAGAAAAGAATTATCAGCAGGAATTGGCACAGGCCCATCAACATAGCTTAAGCATCGAGCTTCTAGCATCCTGATTGAGCAAGTGAGTACAAAACTATAAGCATGAGCAACAGTAAATTTTAATATCTCATGAGAGAAGATGGCAGTTAGTGTGAAAAAGTTTAATAAAGCACTTAAGCTAGCATTAAAATGCAGAAAGTTTCTTCAGAAAACTATGCTAGGTCCATGGCTTTACACCACCAATTCACATGTTGATAAGAAAGAGACGAGCCTTTTGGCACTATTTTCTTAGCATACCACTACTAACAACAGGATTTAGAGAACACTTGATTTCTTTATAATTTCATTAAGCCAATGACTGTCTTATAAGCATTTCACAAGCCAATAATCTCCACCTAACCACTAATCAATCACAGGACTTAGAAATTGTATGACATTTTTTTCTTTCCAAATTTGCTCCTACTCCATAGTCTGGGCTCTGATTACTAATTTGTGAATGGCAATGGCAGGAGTGTGGATTACTGACATAGTACTAGTCTGGGCTCTGGGATCTGCTTCAGTGGCAAACTGGTGACTGGTGCCTGTGGTCTGCACTGCCCTCTGCAGCTGAACTGGTGACTGACTGACTGGTACCCAGTTGTTAGTACCAAACAAAACTTTGTAGACTATGTACAAACTGTCTAGTTGACATTTCTACTTCATATTAGCTATTTGTCAGGTGATTTGACTGTTTAGCATTTGGGTGCACACTGGGAACCTATTAGAAGATCTTGAAAACTCAGTCCTGATTTGCCACATTGTTTCATCTTTGCTTTCTGCCACTTCCTCCAGAAATACAAGTTACTTATCAGACATTCTAAGCATGGATCAGTGCAAAATAAGGCCGTCAACACTTAATTGCACATTTTTCAGAGCCCAAACCATCTCTAAACCAACTCACGTGCATTGCTCATACTACTCATCAAATCACAAAACAACGATAAGAGTATTTTTTCTGAACAAAGTCTAGCTAGATCAAGCACGAACCTCTCGACCGCCACCTGGACGTCCTCGTGGCGAGCCGCGCTCGCTGCGTGCAACAGTACCTCAACTGCAGCAGGCACAAAATGAAAAAATGGGAAACACACGAAATCGGCGTGTCAACAGCACTCGAATTCGAAATTGCTAGGATGATGCTAACGAGAGCGTCGCGGCGCCCACCTGACACGAGGACCTTGTCGTCGGCCGGGGAAGGAGCAACCACGGCCGCAGCCACAGCCGCCTGCTGCTGCGGCGGCGGCGAGGAGGAGACCGCGGCGACAGGGGGCAGCACCTGGGCGGCGGCAGGTGCCAGCAACGGGGCAGCGGTGGTGGCACACGCGGCATCCGGAGGGGGTGGGGGCGCGGAGAAGGAGATCTCCATAGGGGCGCTCATGGTGAGCGGACCAAGCTGCACGCGCGAGATTTTTCTAGGGTTTTGGGGAAATTGCGGGGAGGAATGGGGAATCGAGGAGAGGTTGTGGACTGGGGAATGGAGGAGGTGATTTTGAGCGGATTTGGGGTTTCCCGCCCTTGAGAAGTCGTGAAGCGAGATGGGCTTGCGGGTGAAATAGGCGTTGGGTCGGTGGCTTCCGTGTATAGAATTATTATTGGGCTCGTTTCAAGACCGGCCGAAAATCCCCCAGTCTAGCCTGACCAAGAGGCCCTACCACATTCGGTGGCAACGAGTGCCTTTTTCAGCCAACGAACAATATTTGTCTTTCACAATAAATCAGTCAATAGTACTTTCAATCATGGCTTATTAGCCAAGTGAACAGGGCAATGGCTGTTGTTGTTAAAAAAAAAGGTATATGGCTGCTTAAAAAAGGCTTATGTACGGATTTCAGTGTTTTCTGTTTTAGAAACCAGAGACAAATTGCTGAGGTTTGGCAAGCCGAGAGGCTAGCGCCCAGACGTCCCGATGTCGTGCCTGTTGCCCGTCTGTTTTCAATAATAATACCCTCAAGCACTGCAATATATGCAACATTTAGATAAAACATTCGTCTCGTGCTCCGCGCCTACCGCCTGCCTATGGATGCTTCGTGCTCCGCTTTCGTTTCGTGCTCCGCGCCTGCTGCCACGTCCATGGATACAACTTTGTACTCCGCGCCTACTATCGTGCTCGCTTCGCTTTCTGGGCGCACGCAGGGACCACTGCGCCCGAGGGGACCACCTTCGCCTGCGCCCCCTTGCCATGTCTGCTCATGAAACACTTGCAATATAAAAGCATTTGCTGCAGTATATGTCCGAAACAGATGAAACATTTATAATATACGTTGGTAATATATGTGTATGGCCGCTGCAACATATGCAACATCCAGATAAAACACTTGCAACATACGTTTGAAAACAGCTGAAATATTTGAAACATACACTTGCAACATACGTGTATAGTCATTGCAATATATGCAACACCAGATCTACTTTTGTAACATCAAGATGAAACAACATGAAACATACGATTGCAACATGTGCTCATCTACTTGCTGCCCCCAATGGACGCTCGTTGACGCAGAGCTTGACGTCAACACGGAGCTCGATGCCACGCAGCGCGAGTCCGGGCGGGAGGTGTGGCGGAGCGCAGTACTGGACGCAAGCGACGCGAGGCGAGAGTAGGAGCGCGCGAGGCACGAGGCACAAGGCGTGGGGGCAGGCGGGTCTGTCTCGTTCGACTGGACAGACGCTGTAGACAGAGTTACCATTTGGCAAGAAGCCTACAAAATCGGAATCCAAAAGATTTAAACCCTAATTTTACATAAGTGCAATGTGAACAGATGTACTTCATTTCTAAATTTAATTTGTTTGCTTCTAGTTTTATACGATCTCTCATGCTTTAGTCGTTTTTAAGAGCTTCTCTTCATTAACTGAAAGTCCGAAAGTTATATAATAATAAATAATAATAATAATAATAATAAGATGTGCTGCAATAGTGGACTGGTGCTACATAATAAATAATAATAATAATAATAATAAGATGTGCTGCAATAGTGGACTGGTGCTACACGGCACATGCCGCCCCAACACTGGTCTGAACTCCACGGCACACCATACAGCTGACAGCTCTTTCATTTGGCATGAACATATTATTATTAATTAATACTTCTCTGTTTGGGCGGAGAAAAAGGATATATACGACAACCCTACTATTTCCTCGCGATTTTGCAAGGAGGATCATGTTTTGAGCATCTCTATCGTGACAATGTTGCTCTAGCAATCTTGTGGGATCATGCTATGCGTCGCCGTGTGCGCCCCTTCCATCCGACCATCCCTGTCCTACGCAAGTCGGCGACACAGGGGGCGACCCCGACCACCGTCGTGTCCCGTGTGGATATTCCCAAACCATGCCACGGCAGTCCTGGAACATTCCCGCCAAGCCCTGGCAGAGAGTCTATACAGCTACGTATATACAACTCCATAAAGCTCCTAGCATCCGCGCGACGAGAGCGATTTGAGTACTGTTTAGCTACTGTTCGCCAATCTCCCGCAGCCACGTGGACTCGTGCGTGTGTAGGCATCGGTTTCGCCTCTCCGGATTAATTGAGCCTCTCTTCCTTCACCGCTTTCGCCCTCGCTCTCTCCGTCAAAGTAGTATAAAAAAACACTCAGCCAACAGCGTGCCTCGCCGCCTCCGTCCATGTTCCTTCCTCTTCCTCTCCCTCTCCCGTAGATGCGACGCTTCCTCTCCCCCAGCGGCGGCGGATGCCGATGCGGCGTCCTTGCTTGACGGATCCTGCGCGCATGGACCGCTTCATTCATCGCCTCTTCCTCTCCACCGGCGGCGGCGGCGGCCAGCCTTGCCTAGGGTTGCGCGCCGCACCAGGACGGAGAGGCGGCGACGGACACTGATACGACGTCCTTGCTTGATGGAGCCTGCGGGCATGGACCGTTGTCGGGGACCTAATACCGGGGTACCCCGGAAGGTGGAACCAATAACAACCGAACGTGAAAAACTTCTGGACGTATAAGGGCGCCGTTTCATCCCTTGTTCGAGCGACAGGAGTTCGGTTCCACCTCGCCCGACGCCTTTGTGGGATAACTCTACCTCGCCCGAGGGCTCAGGGTTAATCTTCGTCTTGCCCGACGTCTTTGGGGCGGGCTCGGTCTCGCCCGAGGGCCGAGGGATGAACTCTGTCTCGCCCGACGCCTTTAGGGCAGGCTCGGTCTCGCCCGAGGGCTGAGGGATAGAATCCGCCTCGCCCGACCCCGAAGGGGCGAGGTCGGTCTCGCCCGGGAGATAGGAATTGGTCTCCGCCGCGCCGACGGCGGCAACGAACGAGTCTCACCTCGCTACATATCTAAAGATTGGATTCATCTTACCCGACAACTTCTCTCCATTCCTCAAGATGATAAGTACAGGCAAGACAAGATGTTTGGGTCAACCATGGCTCCAAGGACCATACCGCGCTCTGGGCAGAAAAAAGTACCGCCGGGGGTGACAGACAGTGCGTTAGACCTTCCGGCGCCGCAGAGCTCGAAAGGTTGTAGACAGTGCGTGCTCCTCGCCTCAGAGAGTTGTAGGCGCCGCCTTCAGCCCTAGGACACGGACCCGACGAAGATATACGACAATCGCTACGCTCCGTAAAAGGAATTAATATATCTCCACGCACGACGGACTTTCCGTCACCACGCTTATGGACCCGAGGGAGCGACACCCGCTTCCCGACCCCTCAGTCCACCAAGTCAAGGCCTTGACCACGTCGTCGCCTCCGGACTCGACCCCTCGCCCCTCTCGACAAAGACTCACAGAACCGAAGATGCGTGTGAGCAAGGCTGAGAGAGGCCGATAAGTCAAAACCACTTTATTATAGCCCACATCCTGCGAGGGCAAGATTCTATAATCAACCCGACATTCTCTGTAAACATCACAAAGATTGTAGGCGCTTATCTTCATTCGTACTTATCAAAATGAAGAACGAAGTCGTAGACGTGAGCCACAAGGCTAAGTAGCATATACATCCTAAAATCTCGCCTTGTAAAAGCGCCCCTCTTACTCTATAAAAGGGGATGCGCTCCATCCATCGGGGACTCTAGAGACCGAACAATACGACACACAGATACACACAGTCAAGTGGTCTCGAACCTCTTGACATCCCTTCAACCCTCCATCTCGAGACTTGGGACCAGTCCCTCTCTCGATTGTTTGTACCCCTTACTACAAACCGCTCACGGTGCTAATAACACGAGCAAAGAACAAACCGGACGTAGGGACTTTCGGCCCGAACCAAGATAAATCTTGTGTCCTTTAGCGCACCATCCGAGCCTAACGCGCATTATTATAAATTTACTTGCCGGTGCTTGTACGAAAAACATCGGCGGTTGGCGCGCCAGTAGGGGCCTTTGCGTGTTCCAAATCAGGCCTCGGATGGCCACCCACGCAATCATCTGGGCTCGGCGCACACGCGTGCTTTTGGCGGCCTAGATTTCATCATCACACTAGGAGGAGAAGCTGGCGCTAACTCACACAGCCGCCCTGCTCTCTCCCTTCCATCAACCTCGGCCTGCCTTAGGCTTGAGGGCTCGCGGCAACTCCCTTGGACCCCAGTCATCAAGTGAGGTCTCGCACAACGTCACCCGTGTCTAGAAGGTCCCGACTGAGAGCGCCCGACATAAGTTTCCATTTGGTCTCGCATACGCATGCATCACCGCCACCTTTCGGGCGCCCACGAATGGTTCTGGGCCACCCACGGACATCGAAGTTCGTGGGGGCGATCGAGCATGATACGGAGACCCTTTCTACAGGCTCCTCAACGAGGAGCCAGGATCATTCTCCAGCTCGAATTCTAGTAGGGGGAGCCACCACCCTTCCTGGGAATGCTTCATGACGCAGACCCCCGAGGGTTAGGTCGAAAGTGCCTCTAGGGAAGAGGTCACTCCTACAAACAACCCTGACAGCAGATCCGGGGAAGAGACGATAGCCCCATCTCGCCTAAGGATGGAGCAGCTGAAGGCCCGTCAGCAGGAGATCGATGAGGCCGGGCAAGGGCTCGTCCGAGAGTACGCGGACATCAATCGCGAGATTGAACGCCGCA